TCCTCCCAGGTTTTATTTTCTTTGACCAGGATCACTTTATCTGGCATAGAGGTGATGGATAAGATAAATAATATGTCACTAACTATATCATTATTCGGAGGCAACGACCGAATGTTTTAAAACTGTGGTTTTTCAAGTTACACATTTTTAAAATAATTCAATGGAATTGGATGATTATGATATAAATGTCCAAACGGTGAATCGTTAAATCCTTTTAAAATATATTTAAAAGACAATCATACATAGGACATAAAAAATAAATCCTACACAGGATAAGTTTTATTAAAACAGCTCACCATCATAACAGATGAAGGGTTTTTTCTGATCACAGCTGTTATTCTTCCATCTGCCTTCATCATCAAATACAGCCATGGCACATCGACCAGTGTTATATTGCTGATTGTTTAACTGGTCATTCCAGTGTCTGAAAGAGAAACTGCTTCCATCTGACCACCTCCAGGTGTCTCTGAAGAGACCAAAGTATGTTAAAATCTCTGTAAAGTTCATCACTCCCTCCAGTTCTCCATCCTGTAGCTGCTTCATTCCACTGATCAGGTCTGTGTGTTTCTCTCTGCAGTAACTCTGAGCTTCCTGCCAGGTCTTCTCCTCTCTAATCAAGCTGTATTTCTGGGTTCTATTAGTTTCTGTGGAGTAAACAGATAAACTCACATCACATTAGCTTTACATGTGTTCTTGTTTGTAGAAAAAATACTCAATAAAACAAAAAGAATAATTTGACAACCCATAAACAAAATACAGAAAAGTAAATCAACATTCTCACCATCATAACAGAGGAAATGGTATTTATGTTGGCAACCAGTATCTATCCATGTAAGGTCATTATTTAAAATTCCACAGTTCTCAGGATTTCCATTTCCTTTATCACTTGGTTCTCCTGGTCTCCAGTTTGTCTCCCTTTCATTGAACTCCACTCCAGGCAGAGACCAGTACCATGTTCTGTTAACATCTGTCTGATCATACAGACCAATCCAAGCTTCCCCCTTATTTCCTGCTCTGGTACTGAGGAGTCTCTTCATGTCTGCCATGTTAGACACTGTGGCCAGGTCAGTGTGTTTCTCTCTGCAGTACTGCTGAGCTTCAGTCCAGTTCTTTTCCTCATTAATGTAGTGATACTCATAGAGCTGACAGTTGATGAAATAACTCTGACCTGAAAATATAAAACATTTTGTGTTGAACAAAATAGTAAAAGCAAATCTACATTCTAATATGTAATGTTTTCTATAGTTATCAGTTAATTTCTGCGTGTTAACAAATCAGCCATCTCTCCATCTCTCCAGCTGAGTCTGTATATTACTAGAAACCAGTGAGTGTAGTTGTGTTTAGATAAATTTACCCATCAGAAAGAGCAGAATCACACTCCACTGCATCTTTGATATCAGATGGAATATTTTTCCTTGAAGAGTTTGACTCTGTTCCAAAAGCAAAGCAAAATTGAAAATGAAATGTTGTTTTTGTCACACCCACAAGGTATTAATAAGCACTAATAAAGACCAAAGAGCTTTTCTTCTTATTCTGTAATTTCTCTAAAGAGAATTAAGTCGTATTCAGGTTCAGATTGTAAACACTGGAAGTGGCGAAAAAGTGAACATATTTTGTATTAAGTTAAGTTAATTTAGGTGTTAATAAACTGTTTCAGGGGAGCAATCATAGCAATCTGCAGCAGCAGTGCTGTGTCTGTCTCCCTGCCAGATACCAGATCAGCTTCTGTAATTGTAATTTAACATGTTGAGCAGTAAAAGTTAAATCTTTCAAACTCCAGCAGCTGTTGCTTTGGAAGCGTGTCCCATGCGTCAGATGCTCAGAAGCTCAAGAGACGCTTCTTTGTCTGCTCAGAAGCGCCAAAATGAGCTGCTCCTGCTGCACAACATGAGCTGCAGGACCTTTTAATGCTCCTTGATGTTTGTCAACTATATACTTTGCATGTGTTAAAGTGTGGAGGATTTGTCCCCTTGGAAGTAAAGGCTATAGCGCCCCGGGGGCCTCCTCACCGGTTCTTTTCCTGGG